TCTATCTCCTCAGTATGTAAGCTGGCTGAGCTTCTCTGATTAGTTGCATTTGAAGCCTTTTTTATTACTAATGGGAACCATTTATCTATGGAAGGACTTTGTCCTCTAGGACCAGAGGAAGAAATAAGTGTTTCTTCTTAAAAGTATTCATATTAATATTTTTTGTTCAGCCGTTAAATTGAAGTGCAGGCTAATTATTAACCTGCCTTGCTTGGGTTACAAGGAATTATTTTAATGAAAGACAAATTCATCTTGCATGTAACGCTTACTTGTTTCTTTTCTGCTCGAAATTGCTATGCTCTTTGATTAGACCAACCTTACTGAACATTGCTAGTGGGTCAGAGGGCTTTGATTTTTTCCCATAACTAATTACAGACCATACCTTTAGGCCAAAAAAAAAAACACCAAACAAATGAGATGCAACAAGCTTTTGTAACTGACTGGGAGAGGGAAGATGTACTTGCTGCTGGTTAAAAAAGGTTTGATGTTACTGTGATTTTAATCTGTTTGAAGTTGGTATTTCCTTCCCTCAGTAGAATTCACAGCTCTTTGGGGAGAAAAGGAAGAGGTGATACATTGTTGGGACTAGATCTTTTATGGAAGAGATTGTTTCTGTAGCTAGTTCTTCTAGTGTTTTATTTGCCATATATGTAATTCTGAATGGAGAATGACAATTGGTAACTTATGGCAGTAGGCAACTAGTTTATAGAATGGAAAAAGCTATTCGTATAATGACAGTTGCCATGGAAAATAATGAAGTAGAAGAAATACTTCCTGCTTTAGGTGAAAATGGTGATAACTCAAAACCAGTTTAAGAAACTTCCCTCCACCTACAACGCCCCCTTTTTATTATGTGCCATATAAAGAACTGAACTTGAGAGGGAGTCTAGGGCTATTGCCTGACAGTGCTGAGTGTTGAAATGTGTGTTTTTTATTCAATAGGGAAATTACCGTATCACAGCTGAAAGACAAAAGCAGTCACGAAGGAACTTAATAGGCAACTGTTCCTGCAGTTCATCATGTTATCTTGTCATCTGAAAAGAAAAAAAAAAGTGCTAGGCAGTATACACTCCAATTGCATGTAATATTCTACAGAAATAACTTAAATAACTTTAAACCTTGGAGCCTTTAAATTGCCTGCCCATTTAATGTTTGAGCACTGCGAGTCCCCCTGGTGGCAACACGTCCATAGGGCGTTTCACTCCATACTGAGGCTTGGGGAACAATGGATAGCTTTTGTGTTTGGTTTTCGGGTTTTTTTAAGTCTTGAATTCCTTTTCCCTAGTGAGTATTAACTACTACATTAAATATGCTAGTATTGTAGGAAGAATAAAGTGCAGGTTTTGTGGAAGTGGGGTTTACTGTAGATAGATTCTAACACGCATCTTCACCTTGTAGTTTGTATGTTTTCCTGCCTACTAGCTTGTTTGCCTTGGTTTTTTTCTTTGTAGTAGAAATTGTTTTGCATAACTAAATAAATGTAGACAAGGGATGGAGTGAGGAGGTCTGAATGTTTCATACTAGCAAGCACAAAAGACGTAATGCCATCGTTTCTTTAGCAGACTAAAAAAGAAATTATTATAAGGTTTTGTTGTGTGTTAGTTTAAATGTATTTATTATATTAAATACTCCAGAGACGAATGTATAACTGATCCTTAATTCTGAGCAGACATAGTAATTTCAGAAAGCAGTGCAGAAATATTTTAAGAAATGGAAGTATTTATGTATTTTTTCAAGGCAAACAAACAAGAAGTGCCAGAACAAGCTTTCAAACGGAAGTTCATCAGGAAAGAAAAATAATCATTAAAATATTTCTTTGTGTAAAGCTGTATGTGCAACAAACAGCAGTTCACACCTCTTATTTGAAATGGAGACAATAAAGCTCGTATTTTATATATAAGTTTATTCTACATATAACCTGGCCAGGCTCGGAGTACCTGTATGTTACATGTAGACTGCTACTTAAAATTCACTATTTTTATGGTTTGTGAGGTGGGTTTTTTTTGGTTGGATTTAGGTCAATGCTTCTTGCAAAAGTACACTTTTTAGAAAGAGAATCTGCAGCAAATGGAGATAGGCAAAAGTTTTTCCTTTTAAAAGTTTTTGTTTTCTTATTATGAACAAAATAAATTTGTACTTTGCATTTTCTCAGAGAACTGCTTTGATTTCCCTTAAAAATACAAATTAGCATGTAAATATCAAAAGGTATTTTGGCCTTTTGTTAATAATTGTGACTTGTTTATTTGTGCACTTTCTTTTTAATAATTTCACGTTGTTGATGTCTGTGAAGGTGCGCTTGGTAAGGATATGTAATGAAAACTTCTGATTAAGTAGTCTGTAGCAGATCTGTGAAAACAGTAGTCAGCTAATGTTATGATGGCAAATCCTATAGAACTGCTCAAGTGTTAAAACAAGATTTAAGAGTAAAGTACCTGCATGGATTGAGTCTTGACATGGCACATAATTTTGCTTGAAGATAATTTTCTGCAATGCAGCTAGGGTTGTCTTTAGCATCAAGGGTTTACATAAGTGGATGGAGAATGATTTAGCTTGCTACTTATGCCCCCAGCATTTCTACCATTACTCCCTTCGTCAGTGAAGGGTCCATTTTTATATAATGGATTTTAGTTGGGTGGCAAAGGGGAAAAAAAGGGGAAATCAGTGTTTTGATTTGGAGGGATAGAATGTGGTAAGATTTGTGCTGCAAACACAGGTAACTTAATATTCAGAAATGTTGTATACCACACTTAGAAAATCCTTATGCTTTGAACTGGTTGGAAGTAAGGTTTCCACAGAGAATCTCAATTTTTTGGAAGGAGATCTGTTTGATTTTATAGTAGTGAGCTATTTACTGATTATTACACTACTGTTACTTGCCTGAAGTTTGGAATGTATTGTTCTGTTGCTACATTTATGGCAGTTTAATACCTTGAAAAAAACATTAAATAATTTTTAATGTTTGGTGATGTTGAATTTAGTTGCCTTAGGGTTATGTTTACATTGTGTTAATAATATGGCATGTACAAGTGAATATTCTGCCAGAATAAGAAAATGTGAAGAAAGTGTTGCTAAGCCATTTTAACATGCACCTGGGGATACGGTTACCTGCAGGTCTCAAAATCAGGGCTTGTGACTGAAGCACACATCTAACCAAATATTTAATTGTTCATCTATTGCAGTTGGTGATGAACCTGTGGCTTTTTTTTTAAGAGAAAATCTTCATATTTCCTTATTAATCTGTTTTTCTGGTTTTTCCAATGATTTTAGGATAAAGCCCTATTAAAACTGTGTCTTAAACCATCTTTATCCTGCAGCAAGCTTAACTTTATCGATCTTGGGAGTAAGTAGTTGCTACCAACATGTTCTGTTTCTGTACGTTAACAACATTTTGTCTTAAGGCATCTTCAAGTTTCTAGGCTCCACCTAACGAGCATGCCTCCTTTAATGTGCAGAAGGGCAGCCGTACTGCTAGGGAACAGAGAGTCAGACTTATGTATGAGTTTTTGACAAGTGACACTTGAAGAAACAATGCTTGTAAAAAGAATGGCTTGAATTTAAACTAACAAGGAATGTAATTGAAACATAAAGTGGAAACAAACTAAAAATAATAATAACCACTCTGTCATAGCCTATTGGACTGGTAGTACAAGATTAAATTATTTTTTGGTATGTTTTAGTTTCAGCAGTGGCAAAAATGATTATTGGAGGTGTTGCAGTTTCTCATAATAAAATTAATATTAGGATGAAGCTTGGAAGCAGACTCAATGAAATACTGAAGAAATTAACTGGTGAAAGTCTTTATCCTCTCTAGTTTTGCAAGTGATACATATTGCAGAAACAACATTCTTATGAGAGCAGCACAAATAGATAACTGCTCCAGATCTTGAGTGGGACTGCAATACTGGAAAAGTTAAAAATTAATTACTCTTTAATTAAAAAACTGTGTAATAAATATAATATACTATGATTTGTGCAGATAAATTATTTGGTTTCAGTATTGGCTTTTAATGACTAACTATAATTCAAATGAGTAGGAGCTTAAACCTGTTCCGAGACTTTTGCGTACGTGGGAAGGTGTGAGTATCCACATATCTGGGCCTGGAGCTGAGGGTGAATAGGAATGGAAAACAGTATGTTTACGAAAACTTGAATAAGTCATTCATAACAGAAGTTTGCTTTTTAAATTGTACTTTGTATGCTGCAAAGACATGCTTTTGTTGGGCTGTATGCAAACAAAATGCCTTCAGCTGAGAGGTGACTTAAAGCATGAGCTCAGCAGTGTTTACTGCAAAGAGGGTCTCAGGTCTCTTCTGCTGACTGAGCTGTATCTTTTGTTTTCTTGTGCAGTTTTGGATGCCTTGTTGTCTTAACAAATTACCAAAACTTTTGTTGGATTCAATTGACAATAGTCTGCTCCAAACATTGACAAAAATTGAGGATGCCTGTGAAAAATTGTAATTGAAGGCCAGATTGGATGGGGCTTTGAGCAACCTGGTCTAATGGGAGGTGTGCCTACCCGTGGGGAGGGCTAAAACTAGATGATCTTTAAGGTTCCTTTCAACCCAAAACATTTCATGTTCTATGAAAAAGTGTACTGTCAAATGCATCGGTATAAACATACTACTAAAAATTATAGAATTATTTGTAATATGAACATTTGGAAGACAAGTGACATTTGAGTGAAAGTGTAGGAAACTTCTTACAAAAAAGTTGAATCTCAAAGGTTTCAAAAGTTCATTACGTGTTGAGACAGCCATTGTATATCTAACTGCTTCATTTAACAGTGTGTGTGTGTTAAATGGGGGGGGTTTTAAACCATCTGAGATTTATTTTTTCCAATGGGAAACATAAGTAATTTGGGAAAAGCTTTTAGCTTGTTGAAGCTTAAAAGTCAATTTGTAACATTAGGTTTGGCAAATATTTACCTTCATTTTTGGAAGGAACTTGTGTTTATATTGTGTTTGTTTTTTGGTTTTTGTGGTTTTTTTTTCCACAGAGTAAAGCCATCCCCAGCTGAAGGGGTCAAGTCTAATCCATCCAAGAGGCATAGGGATCGCCTGAACGCAGAGTTGGACCGCTTGGCTAGCCTCCTGCCTTTCCCTCAAGATGTCATCGCCAAATTGGATAAGCTGTCTGTGCTTAGGCTTAGCGTCAGTTACCTGAGAGCCAAAAGTTTTTTTGACGGTAAGGGCTGGAAATTTATTTGGTTTTGAACTGCTTGTAAAGTTCCGTTTCATACTGTATGTAGATTTCAGCTGTTTTAAGCACTTAAACCCGTTAATTTATCTGTATTTTAATGGAATGTAACTATAGAAAGCTTTCTTGAAAAATCAAATGTAACTAGTTATATTTCATTTAAATCCCCAGTCTTTCAAAGCCTTGCATTTGGAAGTAATGTTGCCCTTGATGAGTCTTCTTTTTTTTTAGGTGTTAAAAAATGCAAAAGAGATTTCTTTCTTTCCTCTCTGAAAACTGCCTTCATAAAAACATTATTGTTCTAAGTCGTATGAGTTCCCATCCATGGTGTGTTTTGCTAATGATACATCAAAAATTACTGTTTTGATAAAAAGTTATTCATAGTGCCCCTTCCTATAGTTTAGTACAGAGGTGACTTTTAGTGAAATAAAGGCAAAGTCTTTCCTGCATTCAAGCCCAGATTAATGCAGAGCATGAGGCATTAAGGTGACAGCCAAAATTCCCCTGTTGCGTGGGGCAGGTTTTCCCTGGCCCCAGCCATTGCAAGGGTAACAGCAGCAGAGTAGTAATAAGGCCAGAAATGTGTTCTCTTAGACTTCCTCAGAGCTGGCCCGGCAGTCAAACCCCTCTCCTTCACTACCTGAGTTGTTATGTAGGGTGAGATGTCATGTCTGGCTTCCTGCCAGCTTCTTCAAACACAAAAATAGTCTGCTCCTTTTCATTGTTGTAATAAAGCAGGGAGCTGGTATTTAAATAATTGTCCTTTTTTTATCAGTCAGTGAAGTTTTACAGCAGTATACTGAGGGAGGAATTGCATTGATCAGCTGTAGCTGTGGAATCTTGTTTGCAATGGAGATGATATTAAATTGCAAGTTGCTTTGTTTTATTTTTGTGAAGTTGTTTTGACATTAAAATAACTTTTCATTGATTGAAGATTTAGTCACTTGATAGTAACTCCAAACTATGAAACTATGAAAGAAGGCTTGAAGAAACCTAACTGTCTAAGATAGTTCCACATTTTCCTCTAGAAATACAAAACATTTATTTTCATTTATTGTGTCTAGTGGCTTCAGTTAAGTAATGCTCATAAATTTATATCCTGTGTTTTATTGCTTGAAGAATATATGCAGGCATCTTGTTTCTGTGCTTGTTCGGGACAATTCTTAGTATGGAATCTGCTCAAGGCTAGATTTGGTAAAATATTTCTAGCAGTGTTTGTTCAAATTGAAATATTTGCTCCCATGAAATGAGAGGGTTCCCTTGTCACATCAGTTTCATCAGTCTTTGTGAGATGTTTTCTCAGGTTGACTGCTGTGAAACAATGTGCTCTCTTGGTGAATTGAAGAGGAAGTTCTAGCCTCAATGAAACATTTCTTGAAATGTTTGCGTTCTGAAGCAACTACAAGACTGCAAGTTTTTTTACCTTACTTGGGATGCACTGATAATAGCAAATCTCAATTTCTCATTCAATGGAACTGCTTGATTTTGTTTCTTTCACCCCCTCCCCAGTCCCTCCCCTCCCAACAGTTTGCACTTGAAGGTTTTCTGTTAAAGGGGTTTAATGCTATGATTTCTGCATAGGAAAAAAAGTCTTGGCTTTGGCTGTATGGAGACAGCCAGTATCGCTTTACACCAAAATTTACATCAGTTGCTTGTTTCTAATTTAAACATGAAGGTAGCTTTCAGCTGTTTTAGAGCTGTGATGAATTAGATGTGTGCTAGTGACAGAGAAATTATAGTTGCATTTCAGACTCCATTTTAACTACTGTGAATACAGAGTTGAAGCAAATGTAACCTGTGTTTTCAACTCAGTAGTATTCTATTAGGGTCATATCCATATGAGACATATGCAGCTAATGCTACTGTACTGGACCACTGCAGTAGAACATAGTGTATTTAGTTGTGCTACTTAATTTATTAAAATAGAATCTTTATTTATCTCCTAGGAAAGGACTTTTCAAACAACAAGTGTGTGCATATACTAGATGCATTACAGCAAAATATTTTTATGTAGTCTCCATTAAAAAAAAAAAAGCCTGGTAAAAATGAAAAAGAATTGGATGTTGCTTATGTTGTGCAAGACATATTGAACAGTGTAGGATCATGCAAGTTTAATTTCTAGCTACAGTAGAAGCTATCTTAACCTTTTTTAGCAGGAAAGGCTTTTTTTCCTCCTTCTTTTCAGGCTTTTGAACTGTAGGACTACTAGTCAGGTTAGTAATCAGTATCCATCTGAAAGTGTTTAAAGGCTAACATCCATGACTAAAGTGAAGATAAACAGGAGTAACCAACCTATGACTATGACAGATCCAATAGTGCAAGTAAGATCTTTTATACTATTTGAATAGATTACATATTATTTAAATACATTTCAGTTTAAACTTACTCCAAAGGAGAAACAGTGCTTTGAAGTACAGAATTAATGAAAATACCCTGAAAACCCCTTAAGAGTTTCACAATCTATCTATGCAGTGCTGCTCATGGAACTGCTTTTTCAAAGGAATGTTTTGTGTACTGAAATATATGTGGAAAGCCCTCTAGACTAAACCAGACAAATGTAAGAGTGAACACTGATTGTCACCTTGAGTGCCTAGACTGAGCCAACAGGACCACTTTATTAACGCAGCATGCTGAAGTAAAGGGAAACGCTAAATGAATAACAGGATGCAAATGGGGGGGTGTGTAAATTCCTGCGGAAAGTAAAATATAAACGCGTAATCATATGATCTTGCTTGAAAGGAAACCCAAGTTTTTGCTGTAACAATAGATATTTTTTCAAAGAAAACACTTGCATTTTTCCAAGTTCAGATAATCCAGAGTAAATGTCTGTTTTCTGCAGGTGGAAGTCTGGGGGAGAAAAATGTTTAATGAAAGACATCTCAAGATGTTACATCAGTTTGAGTAAATGTACCTTACTTAGACATCCACAAGGGTTTTTTTATTGTTACTTTAAAAGCTAAGTGTATCTGTTAAAAATACCAAACCAAACAAAAAAGCATCTTGTCCTGCCCTTCCGCAGTCATAAAGATGGTACAGAACTGTCTCCAGAGCAATAGACAGGTGAGTTTATCCATAGTCTTGACTGAGCGGTGGTAGATGTCTGCATGTGTATCTTATTTCAGGTTGTAGGAAACAGGTGTACATTTTGCTTTTTTCTCTTCCAAAACATCTTACTTCTGTTGGTGATGTGTATCACTTCTGTTGGTGATTCTGTTGGTGAAGTTAATCAGTTGTTTTTTTCATTGGTGTAGTTTGTTAGTGAAGTTACGGTGCTGTTAAGTGGTTCTTCTCTGTCACTTTCCTTTAGATACACTAGTTTTGTGTGGTCAGCTTAGTCTCAAGTCCACATGGTGTCAGAAGGTTTTAGGTATCTCTATGTCAGGCACTCTGGCATGCTCCTGTAGGTATTAATTTGACCTTGTAGTCAGTAGTGGCTTAAAATAATGTCTCAAGTCTGTTTCTTTATAAACCAAAGTTCTTAATGTGGCCAGTCAAAGCTAAGAAGTGATTTAAGGTGGTGTGGCTTCTCTGCTGTCTGGTGCTACCTGTCTGTATTGAAGTGGATTACCAATCCTCAAAGTCAAGCAGGTTAAATCGCCACTGGAGTATTATTTTGTGCGTGTAAGATACTTTCTGAAAGTGGCTTAAGGCAAGCTTTTTATTTTTAAGAGACTAGGGTGAATCGGGCAGGTGTCTGCAGACAGTCTGTGAAGAAAGACTTTATTTGTTGTCCTGGTATTGTTTCGCTCTCTTTTGATGCTAAGTGCTTATGCATGTGTGCATTCACTGGTGAAAAATATAAAGTGGAATATAGGACAACAGCTTTTTGTGTGGGTGTAGGTTAGTGGAAGTTCAGCATCTGGATCACAACTGGATGGTCATTTATGTATAGCCTGTGTTGCCCATGCATAGTAAAGGAAAATGCCCATTTGCCTCTTGCTTGAGTCCTTATATGATGAATTGATAATCATTTAAATACTTTACTGCAGTAAGGAGGAAGGAACATTTATTGAGCCGTCTTGGGGTTTTGGTGGAGTGGTTAGATTTAAGGGGTAAAAGTAGAGTTAATATCATTGATCACTTTTTTTATTGTTAGGACATGATTTTTCTTTTCAAAGGTATACTGAGAAGTAAGGAGAGGCTTGCAGAATCTAAAACGAAGAAGCTGTGCTGTGTGTGTGTATTGATACGTTAGAAACAAATTTTAACATGTTGCTTATTAATTACCCCTTTCATCCACTTCACTAAGAATTCCTGTGGTTTAAAGTATGTGTTTTTTCCCCTCTTGCTTATTGGACAGTATTCTGCAATTACAGAATAAAGTTTCTGCTCAAAATTAGTTTAGAATTGGTTTCTTATGTTGTATGCAAGTGATTTTGGCAAGCACAGCAATAACAAAATAATTAAGAATTTTTTCCAGTAAGCTTGCATTGCCTAATTTTACTTTGTAATATAATTAACACACATTCTTTGGCATAACATAGCTTAAATTTGCAACGCACCCATTGTCATCACATAAAGCGTATCCTTTGATAGAATGTTTTTTTCCTCTGATGTCTGCCGTTCTGTCATACTGTGTATTGGACAGAACAGACTGCATGTGATTCCTG